GGGGTTAGGTTTAGGTTTAGGGGTTAGGTTTAGGTTTAGGGGTTAGGTTTAGGTGTTAATTTTAGGTTTAGCGTTTACAGCGTGCTTCTGTCTCCACGCTGTTGTCGCGCTGTTGATGATGTCAGCTACGCGGTTTCGTCGAGCGCAGTTTAGTTGAACGCGGTTTTGTGGTGGAACCGCTTTGGAGTAGGTTTCTTTGGGATAAAGCTAAGGAAAGAAATCAGGGAGACTAAGGGCGGATATTAAATGGGGGAAGGGAATCAGGGGAATGAGAGCTGGCTTCAATAGGATCATCTTCCCCTACAGAAAGAGACGGGAGCTCCCTTTAGCTTGGATGTGATTCCCCAGGAAACCAAGGAAGAGATGGGGGGAGCGGCTGAGTGGTAGGGTTGGTCCCACTGGGGGCAGGGCACCCACCATTTATGTTCGACCCGTCCCACGAGGCAGAAGCAGGGTTCCCCCCGGGGGGAGTTGGTCACGCAGAGAGCCAGGCTGGCCAGCAGCTGCCCTGTGGGGCGGAGACAGATAGAGACTTGGGGGGGGGGTGAGGAAGTGGCAGGAATATCACAAGGCCAGCACAGATCAGGAAGGCAGGGGGTTGGGGGGTGGTATGAAGCCAATCACAGACCAAAAAAGGTTAAGATGAAGTTGGCACAGATTAGGTGGGAAGAGGGAATCAGACAGTATCATGTGTGGGTCAGGTTAGTGCATGGAGGGTTGGACATACGAAGGGCAACGGGGCAGGAAAGAAAAAAAGAAGAGAAGAGAGGGGTGAATATTGAAGACCCAAAATCTGCTCCTGCAAAGGCCCTTCAAAGGAAAAAGGCAGCTAAAGAAGCTTTTGGGGAAGACACTAATTGCATGATTTGTTGCTCTAGATCAGTGGTTCCCAAACTTGGCAACTTTAAGACTTGTGGACTTCAACTCCCAGAATTCTCCAGCCAGGCAGGAGAATTCTGGGAGTTGAAGTCCACAAGTCTTAAAGTTGCCAAGTTTGGGAACCACTGCTCTAGATTTAACTCCTCTCTTAAGTCAGAGGAGAAGGCTAACACCCTCTTCTCCCTCTGTTTATTTCTGGGGTAACAATCACCAGAATATCCTGCCATTCAATAAAGAATAAGGTTGAAAAAAGGACATTGTAGGTCAACCGCTCTGGACTGGAACCTACGCCTTAGCGCATTTGTGGCATTAGCACAAAGATGGGAAACCATGGCCCCTTTTATGACTTGTGAACTTCAACTTCAACTTCCAGAATTCCTGAGCCAGCCACGCTCAGGGATTCTGGGAGTTGAAGTCCACAAATCATAAAAAAGGGCCAATAGTTTCTCCACTCCTGCATTAGAGCAGGATATTTAGCGCAAAGCAGCTGATTTCTTATTTAAAGAAGGAATGGAGCGAGGAGAAGGGGCCAGAAGAGACATGGACGTACCATAGTCGGGGATGAATCCATTGCCCCTCTTCAGCACCAGTCGTATTCGGCTCCCACCGCTGCGGATGTGTTCCACCGCCTGGGCGTGCGTCATTCCTGCTGTGGATTCCCCGTTGATTTCCACCAGCTGGTCGCTCACCTGTCACAGTGTTTTAGCATGAAAAAGCCACCATCCCCACAAACGGATTGCGGATATGTCTGAATTTCCCCAAAGCATTTCCATACGTTTTCAAGCTTTTAGTCACAAATGTCAAGAGCTACAGTAGAGCATACAGGTAGTCGGTGGTGGGATTCAGCCGGTTCGCACCACTTCGAGAGAACCGGTTGTTAACTTTATGAGCAGTTTGGTGAACTGGTTGTTGGAAGAAATCATTAGGGCAGAGAACCGGTTGTTAAATTATTTGAATCCCACCACTGCAGGTAGTCCTTGTTTAGCAACTGCCTCTTTTAGCAACTGTTTGCAGTAGCGACAGTGATGGAAAAAACCCAACAACTTTCAATCAATGCTCACATTTATGACCATCACAGGTCTGTGAATCAGCTTGAGATCCTAAGCGCAGTTGCGGTTTCACTTAGTGACCGCTTTGCCTGACAACCGAGTGGCTGGTCCCAATTGTGGCCACTAAACAAGGACGACCCGTGTATTTTTTGTCAGAGTCTGCAGTGGATATGCGGATTTGTGCAATAAATACCCAGAGTTGTATTGACAGAGAGCTCAAACTGTTTTGCTTATTGCAAAATTATTCTAGGATACATTGGAAAGGCAAGTGTATTACCCTTGCATTTCAGATGGAAACCTGTGGAATAATTACTTCCTTAAAATTACTTAGCAGTGATAAGTAAGGTAAGGTTAGAACTGGCTATGGCTAAGATTAGAAACTGACTCGCAACTCATATTCTTAAAGTGAAACTTCAGATTACATCATTAAACATAGACCTGGATTATCGAGTGGAACTATAAAACAAGAGAATCTGATCAAGTGATATCAATCATCTGATAGTTCTTTGGAGGCTATTAAGCTATTACGGCTGCTGTTGGTAGGAAGGAAACCAGCTCTTGTATTTGGTTGGTGAATATTGTGTTAGAATGAAAAGTGAGTGAAACGTGAATTGGGTAAATGAAGATTGTACATTTATTCATTTCTAGGTACCTGGCAGTATATATTCCATCTATTAAAAGAAAAGCATAAGTTTTTTTAGAAATCCAAATCAGCTCCAAGGACTTGCATGCTTTTGTGTGTGATGTGGTGTGTCATAGGGATAATCCTCAACAAAGATGTTCTGCTCACAATCCGCAACAGAGGCAGGAATTCCTGTCTTTGACATCCCTTTTGGTTGGAAGAAAACTGGGAAATACGCTGGTGTAGAAGCACAGAGTTATATAAGGGCGCCTTAAACTGTTCCAGTGTTTCTATCAATGGGCAGATCTCTTACATCCTGAAGAAGAACAAATGTGGCCTAAAGACACTGAAGCTCAAGTAGTGAGTCCTTCGGGATTGGGCGGCATAAATAATAATAAATAATAATAAATAATAATAATAATAACAATAATAATAATAAAGTGGGACGAATATGTGCAGTCCTTGGGTGTTTGCGTTGGGTGGGTTGAATGAATGTGGCTAAAAGGGGTGGCTCTCTTACAAGTATCTTTTGGAAGAATGGAGAAAAAGGAAAATGGAAGGAGGACAGGAAAAGCAGAATTTTTATTGCATGATGCCATACAATTTATAGTAAGCCTTCCACAATTTTGGTACCATGTGGATGTGTGAACTACAACTCCAAGAACTATCTGTAATGGCTCAGCTGGATGGAAAATTCTGGAATCATTTTTTTTTTTTTGACAAATGGAGGGCACCAGAGAAGACTCGTGTATAATAACTTACATAGTTAGAATTAGATACTGGGTGGGATTCAGCCAGTTTGGATGTTAATTTTAATCTGGTTTGCTGAACCGGTAGTTGGGACTGACTGATCCCTCCCACCTCTCCCCTGAGTCTCCACGTGGCCCGTTTTGGATGTGAGGTAAGTGCAGGGCGCACATGGAGGCTTTGGGAGGGAGAAAAACGGGCCTACCAGAAGTACCAGAAGTCCAAAAACAGCCTTGTTTCGGGCCTCCAGAGCCCAGGGAGGCCATTTTCACCCTCCCGGAGACTGGAAAAAAGCCTCTGGAGCCTGGGGAGGGTGGAAAGTCCCTCCCACCCCGCTGTGGTGCAGGAAGCCGAATAGGCTACACCCCCATGGCCAAGCCCACCCAGCAACCGGGCAGAGAACAAAAAATTTTCAATCCCACCCTTGACTATACATATGTTCTCTTGCCAAGTAGTATAGGACTAGAACAGTGGTAGTCAACCTGGTCCCTACCGCCCACTAGTGGGCG